AACTTGCTCAAAGAAAACATGCTGAAGAACATGATGATCAATCGGTGCGGTGATTCCGCCCAGGAGTCCTTCCCATTTGTCAAGGAATTTCTCAAGCTGAGGCTCGCCAGACCCGGCAGCTCTGCCGAGGGATAGGCGAAGAAGTTCATTCGTACGGATAGACTGACTCCCGACTTCATCAGGACGAAGATACTCAATGAGACAGAACAGGATCTGACGGCTTTTCAGCCTCGTCCCCCTTTTTACCTGAGCCTCTTCAGTCAGCCTGCTGATCTTGGCAACTATTGGTTTCGATGTGATGCACTTTCTCAGCGCAGCATTGAACCTATTGTCAAGGATCGGGTAGAGGCACTCCTCATCAAGTTCCTCTATTGCGCTGGCGTTCTCGACACTCATGACCCAAGACATGGCATATGGCGAGTCATAGCTGAATGCGTTGCTCACAATTTCTCTCGTGGAAATGATCCAGTCTCGCAACTCATGCGGTGCAGGCTCTTTTTCGAGCTCAATGTTAGCGCACTTGTTCGCCTCGGACGGCAACGAGGTTAAGGGTGGTCGAGTAGCCTGTCCAAAAACGTGAGGAGGTAAAACGCCATCTCGGCCAATGGATATGGCACATAGAGAGCAACTCCCGGATGATGGCGGGCAGCACGCGGCACATAATGAAGTGCGGCACAACGAACATGTTTGGAAGCATGGGGGCGTCCCGGGAATGCTGGTCTTGACATTGATGTTGCATCGAGGGCAGACCCTCTCCTCAGCGGAGGATCGGCGGAGATCGGGAGCTCCAATACCGCCGACACCACTGGCGCCATGCACACCCTTATCGAGTCCTGGTGGAAGAGAGAAGCCATTCGAACCGCCAGAGTTATTCTGTGCTCCCTGGTGATGCTGTGAATTCTGCTGATTTGTCACAGCAGCGTCAGATCCATATCTCCCGCGAATGATTCCCTGAGATGTTCCATGCTCGACCTGACCGGTGAAAACCCCCCCCGTAGGGGAACACCCAGGATATGTGTTGATGGTCCCCCTCGGAACTGCTCGTCCGACTACGGGCGAAGACATTGCCCTTGGTGGCATTGGCCCGGCAGCTCCGACGTTGGAACAGAAACCAGAATTCCCTTGGTGCGGTTCAGGACTCCGATGTGACGGATCTCCACGTGATGGCCCGGATCCAGGATCAGGAGCAGTGCCATCCCGCTGATTATGATCAGGAATGCAATCAGGTCCTCCAGGCCCCGCACTGGGGCCGCGATGCTTAGTTTTCCCGTCGGGATCAGCTCTCAGACAACCGAGGCAAATAGGTCGAACACTCGACCCAAAACGACGTACATCGTCAGGCGAAGCGATGTGTTGATCGCAGTACTCGTCCTTGCATATGAGACACCTCACAAGTCCGTGTCTCCCCCCTCTTCCTCTGCATGCGCGGCATCTAGGAAACTGATCGCTGCACTTGAAACACGAGTTACAGTCATGGTCAAAGCAGTCTTCGCAGACTGACTTGCCGCAGCTTCGGCATGGATAGCGAGGTTCCCGATGCTGTGGATGCCCTGGCTCCTCATGAGCACACCTGGCCCGGTTATCAGGGGCAGCGCCGGCAGCCCGAGCAATGGCCCTCGTTCTAGAGGGATCCCTGCCGAAGATGGGGGCTGATGGTGATGGTGGGGGTGGCCCCGAAGGAGGTGGAGGTGGAGGAGGCCTCGCCGAGCTGACGGTGCGAGCATCACGAGGAGGAGAACCTCTAGGAGCCCTTCCCTGGGTTAAGGGATCTGTGTCTCCAGATTTCTCCCATGATCCCGTTCCGGCGGTCGAACCAGCGCCAGCACTTGAGGATCCGCAGGCAGCAAGAGGTTGCTCCCTCAATTCAGCGACCTGCATGTTGATCTCATTGACCCTCAGCACAAGCTTCATAAACTGCTCTTGCATGTCCCTCGGGTTGGGGCCTAAGCTTTTGTCATGAAGGTCCTTGACACATCTAGCAATGCGGGACAATTGAAGCTTGAATTCTTCCTGTTTCTGTGAGTTCTCATTGAGGGCTCCGGATACCTTATCACTGAACTGCTTCAGGTCGGTCGCAGGAACGAGATGCTGGATATACGTCTCGACGTTCCCACGGATGGTTCTTTCTCTTGAGATGGTTCCCTCAATGTCGATGACACTGCGAGAGTTCGCCTCAACTTCGTCTTTGATTTTCCGAACCTCAGCCTCAAGGGCCCCGATCTCAGAAAACCTAAGAAGCTGGACCTTGGCGTTCTCAAGTGATTCGGCCTGCTCGCGAAGTTCAGCAGCGGATATGACGATCGAGTTAGATCTCTCATCATACATCTTGAAACGCTCATTCATCTCCTTCTCGCTTCGGGCAACCCACTCGTGGAAATCACGGAACTTAGCCTCGTGTTTTGAGAGAGTTCCGGCAACAGCAGAGAAGGATGATTCAACTTTCTTCTCGAAGGCGTCAACACGGTTATTGATCTTCTTGATCTCACCGACGCAAGCGTTGATATCATCCCTACATGAACGAATCTCAGCTCTGCATCCCTGGATTTCGGCCTTGCACCCCTTGACCTCGTTATGGATCGCGAGAAGCAGTCGTTGAAGCTCAGATGCAACAGGATGGCCGCCACTTGTGGAAGCAGACGGAGCAGGACGACTATCAGCGTCATGATCTCCGCGGCTATTCTCTTCCCTGTCGGGAGTGCAGCCCGGAGTTCCGATTTGAAAGAATGCGGGGACAACGGAGTCGTTGACCGGTTGATTCGAAGGAAGCCCTCCATATCCAGGGGCAACAGTGCTAAGACCAGGTCTCCGATTCCTAGGCGTAGAGTTAATCCCGTCATCAGTCTCCTTCTCAGACATCGGGGCGTTGGAGCTGAGCCCAGACCCCGCAGAGTGTATAGGAACGTCAATAGGATCGTGATGAGCTGGGGGATTAGATCGCAGTCGTAGAGCAGCTTCACGTCTCTCGGGTGACTCAGAGCTCCTCTTTGTGGCTCGTGAGTCAGTGCCGGTTTGTCCCGACACATTATCAAATGATGATGATCCGCGAAGTTGAGCTTGATCTGGATTAGGTTGAGTGAGATCAAGCCGTTGAGCAACGTCACCATTGAGTGGCTTAGGGGAAAGTACTTTGGCAACGCGGCTCGGCGGGAGCGATGTAGTTCGTCTCTCTGGTGTGACCTCGGCCTCATCGATTACATCAAGGATTCCAGGAATGGTTTCATCATCTTCATTTCCTCTCCTGGGTGGCTGATGGAAGGGGATGTCGAGGAGGTCAAATGGAGTAGAGCCAATACCAGGTGTATCCTGCTCGGATCCATCACTGGTACGGTGGCTGGACTGCTCCTCGAGGTCGATGACGTCGGGGGCGGACTCTTTTCGAGTCTGACGCCGATTGAACGCCGCGAAGAGACCGGCATGGCTTCTTGACGAAGAGAAGGAAGGATTTGGGCCTGCTGTTTCGCGGCCCGCATCCGATCGACTAGTACCTGATGTCCGATTTGGCGGATTTGAGCCCGCGTTGTAGCGGTTCGCATCCCGACCTCGGGTACCTGAGGAAAGCGGTGGATTCGGACCAGCGTTGTAGCGGTCCGCATTCCGGTCACGGGTACCTGACAGGTGAGATGATACTGCATCAGGGATGAAGTCCATATCCGCCGGACTGGGGTGATCGTGAATGATGTCAATGTCGGATGAACCTGAGACGGGAGGAGGGCCAGCTATTTGCGGCCAATCCTCAATCGCCCGTTTGCCCACCTCGGGTTGGGCCGAACCTGCAACATGAGAAGGGGAGAAATCTTCAACGGGGTCATTTTCTCCATCATGAGGAAAACCCTGAGTAGGCTCATGCGACGGCAGGGCATCAAAGGATCTGTCAATTCGGGAAGGCTGAGACCTCCAATCAGCATCAAAAAAGGATTGAAAATCCAGATTCCCAACCGAAACGGGGGCACCCGAGTTAAAGTCGAGACGACCGAAATCAGGCGGTGTAGCCTGCGATCCACTGCCGAGGAGCTGGTCAAACTGATCCCATGTAAGGGACCATGATTGAGCCGGCTCCGGATGAGCAGCATGATGGATAGCCCGGTCCTCGATCTGGAGCGCCACGAACGGAACAGTAGGCGAAATCGATGAGGGCACCTGATTTGGAGGAACCTCAGCCTCTTCTAGAGGGGGTCCGTCCTCGATCTGGAGCACTGCCGCCGGGATAGGGGCCTCCGCATCCTCATCAAACACAACCTGAGAAAGGATCCAATCGTCCGTGATCACCCCGGGATTGGGCTCTGCGCCCACCATCGGGGGAATGGGCCACAGCCGGCTGTCTAAGCCGGGGGCAGCAGGCGCGGCGTTGCCGCGAAGGGCGTTGGCCTCGTCGTCCACGAAGCCCGGCCCACGATGAGAAGCTCCGGGGGACGCCATTGCTCGTACAAGTAGGCGATGGGAGCAGGTAGCGGGTCACGTCCCGCAACCGGATCACCAGCCCCAGCTTCTAGCTGGTACGGCTGATAACCTGCGGTTTTGGGCGAACACGAAGTAGCCCAGGGAAGCAAATGAGCACAAAGTAGATCACGATGTACCCAAAGCACCCGGAAACACAACTCGGGTGAAGCTGTGGATGATGACCGGGTTGAGGAAGTGACGGTTGACAAGGGAGAAGTATGGGGAGGTTAGAAATCAAGTTGAAGAGGATTAAGTTCAATACCAAGCCCAAGTAGAACAGCGCGACTCACCGAGCACCTCCTACACCCAGCCGCCCGCGGCCCCGACCCTTTTCGGCTCGAGGACGAAGAAAGCTGCCAGTGAATGGCGCACGAGCGTGAGTCCTATTCCCACTTGACGGGAGGTAAAAACTTGAGCCAAACGGCCGTTCGGCCGTTTTGACATATGAAGAAACAACACGTGAACAAAACACAAATTTTGAGCCACACCCATTTCTGACACCCCCCATACTGATTTTCAGGCGCTGAACGCTGATCTCGTGCGGCCTGCAACCTGTGGGTCTCCTGAGGGTGTTCGCCCTGCGACACATTGCAAGCGACGTAGCCCATGGCATCCATGATCTGCATGCCTGGGGAGAAGGCGTCGCTGCACTTCCGAGATCTCCGTCCATGGCTTTGTGGGAAATGAGCTGCCCTCTTTGGAGATGAGATCTATGGGGAACAACAAAGCTGCCTTGTTCTTGTGTGGTAGAGTTCAAACAGTTGTGTACTCTGCTTCGTTGATATTGAAGGGGAGCGTGAACTTCTTTGTTCCCAGCAAAGGATCTTCCAGAAACGGAAAGAGAACAGTTCGAGCGTTGGGGCAGCCAAAAGGTAGACTCCCTGTTTTTGGCCCATGAACTCAGGGAAACGTCAGAAAGGATCCTGTGATGTGCTTCAATTCTTCCCCACGGAAACCAATTCGCAATGATGCTGAGCCCCGCAAGGAGCTTGAGGGACTGCCAGTAGCTGAATCGAAGGCTCTGTGCACTGGTCCTCGCCGCCTGGTTTTTCGCGGTGCCATGGGTCTAGCAGCCATCAAACCCGGTTTTGTAAGAGAAGAGTGGGACAACAGCCTTGAGTCTCCGGTGACGCTCTCAACATTCGGCCGCCAACGGAAAGACCTGGACCTCCAAAGGAGCCCCTTTTTCCCGCCTTTGACCTTCAAAGGCGGAAAAAGACAAAAAAAAGAAACAAGGGGTCCTTTGGTGATTGGCCCAAAACCCCAACACCGCAAAACCCCAAAACCACAAAAAAATCCAACAAAAAGGGGTGACCCCCTTCTTTTCGCAGGGTGGCCGGAGGCAACTCATCTGTCTTCCTTTCGCCGGGCCGCGCCGATCTTCCAGGGTGCCAGACAGTCGCAGCAAGGTGCGGCCCTGGCGAAGAAACACCAAGGCCAACATCGGCTGCTCCTTCAGCTCCCGCGTTGCGAACCAACGGTCCGATCTTTGCGTGGTATGGAAAAGCTGATTTGCTTGCATCCTCACCAAAGCACCTCTTGGGCGATTTGGTGACACCAAAGACCAGTGATAGGGAGGACCAGCGTGAAACACAACTATATTCACAGGGATTCTGTGTTTGAACGCGCGCAAACAGACGGATTTCTGTATGCGGCAGGAAACTTGTAAAACAGGGGGCGTCACCATTCTGGATATACACCCCTGTGCACGACATGCGCCACCAAAAAAAAGCTCTTCGCAGTCCCCCTTGTCACTTTTGGGACAAGGCACACCTTCAGGAATCAAACTAGCGCGACCGCACATTCGATGGGCTGTTTAGCGGCATTGCTGGAGGTCTGCGGCTTCCCATTCTGTGGCCCAGATTGGGTGTGTTTCTTTTAACGGAACCCACCAAATTGGTGGCTTGCCTTTTGGCTCGCCTTTAAAACTAAAACAAAAAGGGCACCCTCGACACAAAGATGCGCCCAAGTTGGCATTGGTCCAAACCCCGCATGCCTGCGGATCTTTGGCCACAAAGCGGCGGCCCAAGTTGGCAATCTGGTCCGGCAGCAGCATATTGGCGCCTCAAATTTGCGCTTTTTCAGCAAAGGAAGCGTGTCTTTAAACAGGGAAACCAGGCCTCTAAAATTGTTTTTTTGCTCATGGTTTCCGTTCTTTGAGACTATTTTGATAATACACATATATATATATATTAATATATATGCTCCGGGTTCCAGGTGGTTGGGAAGGGGAAGGATGCCATATATATATATATATGTGGGTGTGGCCCTTATTTTGCTTTATATAGGGGGCGCCCGCAAGTGTGGCTTCCTTTTGTTGTTCCCTCAAATAAATGACAAAGGAAACCTCGAATTATACCAACATGTCCAACATGCCCTTTTTGGGTGACCGACAAACATGGGTGTGTCCTCTTTCTGGAACGATTGTGCAGTTGGCTTCTGTTTATAACAAAAAACAAAGGTACCCTCAAACAAAGATCCATGCGCAGGCATAGAAGTCAGTTCTGTGTTCTCAAAAAGATTGCAAACCCCCTTTTGCTTGGTATTCAACGGGAAGCAGAAATGACACCCACCATCTCTGTCAAATATGGACTTGGATCTCAGAAACGAGTTCGGCTGTCTTTTTGTTCTCCCTTTGAACCAACCTGAAGAGGCTACCCTCAACAAAATACACAAACACCCACACGCGTACAAGCCCATGAACTTCCGTCTGCGCTTTCGGGGGTCTAAGCAAACCGAACCAATTGCCCCTCCCATTTGGCTCCGCTTGCCAAATTACTTTACACCCAGGAACACAACACCCGCTGAGACCCAAAGGTAGGCTTGCTCTATTTGCCTGATTTACTTCCACACAAGTTGTTTCTCTTGTTGGAACCCCCCCCCCTTCATCCCAAAAGTGTGTGTGTGTGTGTGTGTGTGTGTGTGTGTGTGTGTGTGTGTGTGTGTGTGTGTGTGTGTGTGTGTGTGTGTGTGTGTGTGTGTGTGTGTGTGTGTGTGTGTGTGTGTGTGTGTGTGTGTGTGTGTGTGTGTGTGTGTGTGTGTGTGTGTGTGTGTGTGTGTGTGTGTGTGTGTGTGTGTGTGTGTGTGTGTGTCTGTGTGTCTGTGTGTCTGTGTGTCTGTGTGTCTGTGTGTCTGTGTGTCTGTGTGCGTGCTTCGTCCGAGCCTTTTCAATTGTGACGCTCTCGACACTCGCTAACTTGACCTGAAGGCCCTGGAAAGACCATATTCCCATGTTTTGTTTCTGCTGGAGAACGCCCCAATAATGTTTATCTTACAGGGCCCAGGCTTACTAGAATCATATGGACGGAATTTCACAAGGCCCCCACCCCTTGTAGAGGGAAAATCGAGTTCCAGGGCGCCTCAATTGAAATCCCAGAAGCAGCAGCTTCTCACCATAGCGTTGACATATGACCAAGAGAGTATCAAATTTGAAACCAACACCTCATGAACTGTGTGACACATGTTGACCCTTTTCTTAGTCTGGTCTCCGCGTCAAAACATAAGCAATATATTATTGTAATACGGCGAGTATGTCCAATACGGCGAGTATGTCCAATACGGCGAGTATGTCCAATCCGGCATGTGTGTCAAGGCTTTCTTCCTGAGAAAACTTGGTGTTTGGTATTGACACAAAAAACACAAGCAAGGCAACCATTTGTGCAAATGGGGAGGAACAATCGACCTCCAACTCAGAACCCCAACGCATTTAAGCACGCTTGTTTTGGCAGTTGAAGGGTTCCTCCTCCGAAAGCAACCCACTGCGTGTCCGGGGCAAGCTCTGACACGGGTCTGTCTTTTTGAAGGGAAGCCCGGATTTCCTTTGAGCTTGCTAATGCTCAGTAGGGAAGGTGGGAATAAATCTAGGCTTTGGTCCCCCATTCAGGAAGCCGCAAGAAATGGTTCAGGGTCATGTCCTCATTCCATGAGCAACGGCAAGTTGTACTGGAAATGGGATTTGGGCGTGGTGTTAGCTTTCATTAATCAGGGGTCAGACCTGTATTTCAGGGCAGGGGGCTAGGCGCAAGGAATTATGAAAGTTGACAGGGGGTAGTGGACGTGTCCAAGCAGCCCCAAAACAGGGTAGCCAACAAAACAACACACACACACACACATCCAGAGTTCTGGGAGCCAACAAACAAGTGGTTTCCCTTTAGCGCCCTCATTTTTTGTTTTAATTGTTTGTCTTAAAAAAAGAGAAAGACAAAACAAACACAACACAACCCCGAAAAAGGTTCTGGGGTGTCGTAAAAAAACAAAAAAAAACAAAAACGAAAAGAAAACACAAGTACCCCTGGTAGCAACAACCGAAATCACCTCATAGCCCCGATGTCCATTTCGGTCGCCCGATCCCAGGCCGGAGGCGCCGAAGAGCCTCTCCTCCTGGATCTCTGCGAAGACCTGCGCCCGGGCGGCTCGATCCGAGTTGGGCGGTGTCTCTTTGGGATGCCCTCAGATCCCCAAAAAGTGGTTCACTTTTAGTGGGTTGAACGGTTAAACAGGAGCCCCCTCTAAGCACTGAAGGCTGAAAAGCTAAGGAACCGGATGGCTGGGAGCCACCAAGTTGTGTGAAGGCAGCCTGTGTTGGGTCGTTCAAAAAGGAAGACCAAAGCAGAAGCCGCGACTTTCTTGGTGTTCAGCTGCTCGCAACTTGTAGATGTCCTTAACCAACAGGGAACATAAACAGAACAAAAGGATCTTACGCAAATGGAAGCAACTACAATACTTTTTGGAGAAAGGCACAACTTAACGCATCTGACCCTAGATTGCCCGGGTCATCCTCCCCAAGCCAAGCGCCGACCCCCAAGCTGAAACCAGCGACCCAAGCCGCCCAGACGGGCTGACCAAAGGTTGGCGAAGGCTCAAACCCCAAAAACAGAAAATCCAAAGAAGACGCTTTCTTAAGACATGTATTCAGTTGAACATAACATATCATTTCAACCCTTTCCAATGCGACAAATCCACCCATCTCTGCGACTTCCGACGTGCCCCCCCCCCCACCTCGCCGGTTTGGGTGAAGATCTCAGGGGGCTTCCAGTCAGAGGAGTGGAGCTCCTTCGGTGCAAAGTCGGAACCCAAGTGGTGCAGGATTCCCCGCGTAAACGCAAGGGCAAGGGGTTTTTTGAAGGAGGGGCAGCAAATGTTTCTTCCCCTCAAGTCAAAATGTTTGAACAGATACATATTTGTTCCCCTCAAGTAGGAAATGTTTTTTCAAGAAACGATGCCAGCATGATGGCTGGTCTTCATGTCTGTAGGATGAACCTTCAAGCTTGGCGAGTCTTGATAGTCCTTTCAGTACCAACTGGGAGGTCTTTCAGTGTTTGAGTAACCTCCCATGTGACTATCAGGGGCTGAAATGAGATTTGTGCGTTTGGTGGTTCAAGGAAAACGACGCCCGAAGAAATTATGCCGAAGAAACCAGCAAAACCCTAAACTTGGCCAACTGGGATGCGAAATCCTACTGTGGATGGAGGAATTCCTGCACCACTTGGTTTCCCGTGGTTTCAAAGTGGTGCAATATTTTGTCTCTCCACAGTATGTTCTCAGCCTGCAGAACTGTTACAGCCTAGCCTAAAACATGAAATAGTTTCCCCAACATGTCAAATCTGCCCACGGCCCTTGTCGAATGTTGTTTTCTTGTTTGCTTTCCACATGCGCTTGGTCTTAACCTAGCGTGTTCTGAAAACTCCGAACCCTTCTCACCATTTGCCAATGAGACCACAATGATCATGTTCCAGCGCCCATGCCACGGGTTCCTCATGAACAGGAAGGGACTCCAATTTGATAAGGTACTGACGGGCCATATCTGCTCACAACCCCCCCCCCCCCCATTTGAACAAGTAAGTCAATGCAAATGGGTCCTAAAGCTTTCAAAGCGGCTCAGCAGGGTTTACTGGCGTCTCAAGGCGGTCTCAATTGGTCCTCAATTTGCAGAGCTCCCTGTGTCCCCTTTCTTACGTTCCCCAAGAGGAAGCTCACTCTGAATTGGCCATTCTGAAAGGTCATGTCTGGATTGAAAAAAGGATTTGTCTGACCCCAAACCGTAGTTTCGTTTTGATATCCATTCAAAACAACCCCAAGCATAGCCGCAAAGAGATACCCCATCTCTCGTTCCAAAGGGGGCTGTTTCACTGGGTATGACTTTTGTGCAAAAAGGGCGGTCAATCGGAACCAACTGGAGGCGCTCCACTCTGAGACAAGCCCAAACTGGCTACGGTGAATCCAAGGATCATTATGGCCCGAAACAATTGACAAGTTGTGACACATTTACTCACACATTTCAGCCTCGGCTAAGCATCACATGCTGCGACTCACGCTTTTCATTTCCGCTTTGCCTTTGTGGACGAGTGGTTTTCAGGGTACCTTTGCGGTGCTCAAGGGAAACCATGAGGAAACTCGCTATGTATATGTACTTATATATTATGTATATGTACGTTTATTGTCTTGGGCATACCTAAGTGTGGAAAGGGCCGTAAAGTCATGGCTTGCGTCAACGCTGGGAATCCCAGTCCTGGGTCCGGACAGAGGCGACGACACCCCTGCCAAGCGGGGGGCAAGAAGAAACGCTTCCACTGGTCACGGGGCGCCCCCGCCTTTCAAGACAAACCGACATTGGAGGTGTCTGTGAGCGCAGCGATGCGCTTTTGCAAGGGAACTGGGCAGCCTGGGCTTGTGGAAAAGTACATGAGCCCAATTGTGCTTACAAAGGCATCGTACTTTGCCAGAGTCATGGTGCCATATTAGGAATTCCCCTCTCGAGCTTTCCTGAGATGGGACCTTGATGTCTGTTCACCCTGGTGGAAGCTTCAGGGCTGCTCTCCACTGTTGGACGGGTTTATCAGTCCTGGGTTCCCATCCATGCAATCAGAAACGCGAAGCGAAAGCGCTGAAACCCCATATGGGTCCGGGCACAAAAGGCGAACTTGGGGGCATGACGAGTCGACCAAGGCCAACACGGGGCGAGTGAGATGACCCATGCCCTTGAAAGCAAATTCAAGGGGCCAAACTTGCAAATGAGTTCTAGGAGGCTAACATGATTGTTCTTTGGTGCAAGCTGGAAACTGTTTAAAAAAGAACTTCAGTTGCTCAAAGGACTCAGAAGTTAAAAATAGTTAAAAAGGTGATCACCTTTATGGGGCCATGACAAAAAGTGCACCCAACATGGCAAAGTTAAAAATAGTTAAAAGGTGATCACCTTTTTGGGGTCATGACAAAAAGTGGACCTAACATGGCAAAGCTGAACGCAGCTGAACCCTTTTCGGGTCCCAAGTAGCTCTGAACTCGACCGATTTCGATCTCCAGCCTGCTGGACTCGACAAGAAGCCCTCCCTCCTCATATTCGTCCGCGCGCAGCGAAAAGATGTTCAAGCCTCCCAATTGGACTCACCGAGCGAATTTCCATGGGGCGGCAACTCTTTCTGTTGAGAGTTGATTAAGGCCACTCCAGAAATGCCATGGTGTCCGAGTGAGTGAATTCACGTTTTCTTTACTCAACTCCCCAAATTACAAGTCCAACGGGAGTGAGTGGATGGTCTCAGGCTTCGAACTTTTTGCGCCTAGTGCCGTGAAGAGTCAGTCGGAAATGGGTTCAAATTGGTGCCCTAGTTCAGGTGGGTGACCCCACCCACCCCCACCCCACCCCCACTCCCCTCCAACTCGACTCCACTCCACTCGACTCCACTCCACCCCGCTCCTATCCTCTCCTCTCCTCCGCCCGCCTCACCCCCTACACCCCCCCCCCCTCATACTTTCAACACAAACTCCGGCGATGAAGTCGCTGTCCGTCATCCGAACAAGTCACGGCCCTGTCTGAGGGTAGCTTGAAGGCCCAGGCACTCGCCCTCAGACCCAACCCTGTCCAAAACAGTATGCAACCAAGCTCCTGAAAGGAAACCTAACAGAGTTAGGCCCAGATAACTCAGTAAAGTAAGTCAAAAGATAACTTAGAAAACCTGAATAAGCAAAGTAAAACAGAATGTATGTCTTATTCTTTGCTCTACATGGAGCCACTGGTCAAATGTAAAATGTATCCTAAGTCTACCGCAGCCTAGACCTTATGATCTGGGGTAGCCCCCATCTTGAAACACCCCTTCCAACAAGATGGGTTCACCCAACAAGCCCCACACCTCTCCACCCCATGGCCTCCCTCCAGCACGTGCCAGGTAGTCTGCTGGGCCTCCTGGGCTCGGCTTCCAACTTCAAAACCTTCCGGGTGTGGACCATGAGGAACCCCAAGGCGTCCGCTAGGTGTTCTAAGGGTTGACTCCTTGTCCATTCTTTCCAACCATCCTTCTTTTCGAAAACCGGATCCGTTTCCCTGAAATTCCGGAGGTTTTCTAGAAGAAGGATGCCTGGAAAGAATGGGGAAGTCAAAAACGACACACAAACCTTAGGCAAATGATCATGCTCCCGGAGAAAGCTGACTGAGTCTGCCCTGATTCACGAAGGAGAGCTTCAAGATTCTTCCCAAAATGATCTATTCCTTCCGGGTCGTGTCTTTCCTTAGGCTCTCTTGGTGCCAGATGTGGGGCCAAACAGGGGCCATTTAAGTTGGTACATCATGTACCAAGGAACCCTTGTGGGCCTATGTCTTTTTTGGAGAGTACCCCCTTTTGGTGCGGTTCTAAAGGAAACCAAAAAAGACAATCTTCGTTTTGGTGAGGTGGGGGGGGTCTCCTGAAAGAAGACACCTGGATCGCCAGTTGCTGGTTTTCCCCCAGCAACTGTGACTGACCTTTAGGTACAGTGTCTGGAAAAAGCAGGAACTTGAGTCACGATCAAAACCCGGTTGACCCAGAATAGAACTACCAAGGCCGCCGCTGTTTCTGGCTGGGGCCTTCCCTAACCTTCACTTACCCGGGTTTTGATTATGGCTCACTCGGCCAGGCGCACCAATCCGAGTCACCCCGATGATGGGGGGCCGCAGCGACACCACCAGGCGCCGCTTCACGTCTTTGGCCTCCGTCAATGTCGGGCGCCACTCCTGCGCCCGCTTGGGGCCGGTAGGCTTGGCCTCCTGGCGAGTCAGACGAGGAACGATGCGTTTGGCGTGGTTCCCATGTGAGTCCGCAGAAATGCTGCGGCTTTGGTTGGGTTTGAGGCTGGGGATTTAGTCTTTGAGGGTTTCGAGGCGTTTGAGGGTGCGCCTTTAGCGGCGACGTGTTTGGCTAAATCGAAATTGTTTTTTGCGAACGTGGGCCCATATTTCCTTATGTGAACCTCGGATGAATAAAACCTTGGCTGATTTCTTAAATTTGAGGGAGGGTTTTCTTGAGTTGTCCTTTGAGCTCCTCTGAAGCGAAACTGCGCGTCTTCAAGGGAAATCCAACAGAAACAGTGGGACGAGTTGGTTTCGTTTAAGTTAACCCCCAACATGGGTGACACAAATTGACGCACATCCAAATTGAGAGCAGTTGGGTTAGCAAAGGTGGACGATCAACTTTGTGACACCGACATGAGTCATCCTCATGAGCCTTGTACAGAAGGCTTCGGTTGGGGAAGGGGGGGAGACTTTTGGGGAGTTGTGGGGGTTTTAGCCGGTTGCGGGCTGTCTTCTTGCGCTTTCTCTTGCTGGTTCTCAGAAAATGAGGGAATGCCGGAACGCCCCTGACCCTTTCACAAACCCGATTCACAAGCAGCACGTTTGCTTTGGTTCAGTGGAATCCACCCGAAGCAGCCGGTCTGGCTGCACTGGGCAGCTTTTGCCAGGCGTTTCTTCCACCGAGGCGTGTGACCAAAAAGGGGTCGTGCGAACCTCACAGTGCCCCACACAAAGGTAGCTTTCAAACGAAACCCCGGAACTTGGAGAACCCCTCAAAGCTAAACACCTAACTGGAGTCTCCTTCTGACCCTTTAAAAATAGGTCCGTGACCCCATGATTTTAGGTAATGACCCCCATTTTTTGAGGGTCATGGAGACTCTAGGTTGACCCAGGAATCAGACAGTATTTCCTCCTTTTGCTTTGTTTGGGTGAGAAAGAGGAAGCCTTGCGCCTTTCTCACCCCATCCGGGACTTTTGGATTTCCCGCCTCGTTCCCAGAACTGCTGGCGCTGGTCCGCGGTGGCAGTCGGGTCTGCGGCCTTTGCGCTGTGAACTTCACAAAGTCCGCGGCGCTGAGGGTTGGAGTCGGCACGGGCTCATCCTCCTGTCATCCAAAATTTGGGTGTGGCTCAAAATTAAACAGCAGAGGGTACGCAGGCTTCAGACTTGACGCATTTTTTGTTTGTTGTGTCTTCTCAACAAACCAAGGCGCCGTGTTGGGTACCACTTTTTGAGCCGCAGCCATGTCCCACCCAAACTTTGCAAGTGGGTCCCGTCTTTTTTTGGAGATTTGTTTGGTTGCGTCATCCCAAGCATTGCAGCAGTTGGGCCTGCCTTGTGTTTTGAGACAATGTCTTGGGGGTCGCAATGGCAAACCACAGGAAACTCATTGGTTTGGGCGTTCCCCTATGGGCCATGTACGGTAACCCCTGTGGCCATGAAACTGCAATGCTTGTTCCTGGTAAAACAAGGGAAGTACGAGGACCTCTGATGTTCCGTATGGGGTCCCTTTCCTCATGCGACGTCGTTTTTGCAACCCCTTGGCAGCGGAATCCTCCTCGGTGCGTCTTGGTTTTTCGTTGGAAACTGTCCCCATGAGATAAACCGAGGAAAAACCGAGACAGAACGATCGGTCCGTTTCCAACCCCCAAAAGAGACACTTCGAGGCGCACGGACGTTGGGACCATACCCAAGGGCCCCAAGGCAAGGGGGATGGCCGATGCTGTGTTGTTTCTTTCAGTTGGCACCCTTTTTGGGGTAGTCAACACCCAAAAAGCATTTTGGCGGTCCCCCTAGACAGACCTGGGCCAGCCTAACAAGTCTCAGCTTGGAACACCTTCCATGCGCCCTAAAACAAACTCACGTTCACAGGGGTCACTGGATTTCCCAGCCAAACATGTACGTGTCGATTTCATCCAAACGATCGCCTCTGTTGGAGACTCCACAAAGGGACCTGGAGGACACCCTGATTGCTTCAAATGGCCCAAAAGGCGATGCTCACAACTACAGGGAGCCTAGAGGTCTCCGTCCTTCTTGTGGAGCCAAACCGCCGCTGACGCCAGGAACCCCACCAAGATGAGGCACAACACTATGAGGATCACCGCCTCCAGTGGGACCAGCGCGCTTTGTCTTTAGAGTGGTTTTCAGTTGGGTTTTTCCAGTGGATTTTCCCATCCAGCGGTTTTTGGTCGGCGTTTTGGGACCTCCAAACCAAAAGGGCAACACTCTCATCTGGCTTTGCCCCTGGATTTCACTTTGGCGCATCAGCTCCAAAGTGAGGCCCCACTGTCCATTGGTGGATCTGCTTTGATAAGGATAAGCCCTTACCAAGGCTTTAGTAAGAGATGAACAAGGGATACAACCCTCCCGGTACAAAATATCTAATACTTTGTCACATCTTCTCATTCTACTGGGCACTTGGCGTAGTCCCTTCCCAACAAAAAGACTGAGAACATCCGGCAAAACAAAGTGTTCAAAGCTGGCCCCAAACCATATCGTGCCAGAACTAGAGGGACGCTGGGGGGAAAGGGCGCGTTAATGGGATAGTTTTGGGGCTGTCTTTCATGTCAACCTTTTTGTGGGTTTGGACCTCCCCCATCTCAGACCCTTTCCTTCTTCTAAGAGGGGCTTAGCCTAGCGCCTCTGGCCCCCAACTCAAAGGCCATAGCCTCAGATCTGGGATAGCGTTTGCCGAGGGTATAAAACATAGGGCAACCCCAAAATGGCACTCTGGTAGAAGGAAACACGGACTAAAACCAATGGTGTCCTGGTGGTTTGAGTATTGCCTATGCTTGATGCCGTATTGCCCCGGTTCAACCCAGTGGCACACCACGTAGCACTAGCCACTGCGTGCCAAGCTTGGGATCTGATCAACATGTCTTCCACATTGCGATTTGGCGCCGGCATTCCCGTGACTACACCTGAATACTACTGAAGGATGTCCTCTTTAAAAACATCACCCACAAAGGAAATTCCATCAACTTGGGCCCACAAGGTGATGCTTAGCCCCCCTGGCCAAGACAAGTCTGTGGAAAATCCATATATGGACACCCCACCATTTGCTTGTGTCCCTCTAGCATTGGACCAATGCCACACTCCAATGGTTGGGGGCCCCGTTACAACCCCCCCGATCCCCCATATCTCATATTCCACCCCGCGAAAAACAAGGTGATGCCGGTAAGCCAAATCAATCTGGGTTTGCCGCTATGAGTTCTGGATTGCAGGGCTCTCAATATGTCCCCCGAAAACAACCCAAAAACATCAATCAGGAAACTCAATTGGGTTAAACGGAAATCAACAAAAACACAACTAGAAAACAATGACAACCTAAGGAACCGGATAGTGACCCCTGTTTGCCCAACTCCAAAATTGAGCAGGGGAAGCAATATCGAAGTGCTCGGACCCGCAAAATGGCGGATCAGCGTGTTCCTTTTGGCTTAAAACCAACACCTGGAGTCTCCTTCTGACCCCGTACACAAATTGCTGGTCATCTGCCCGAAATAATGGGTCACCCACACATTTTTTAAAGGGTCAGAAGGAGCAGGTGCAACACATGACGAATCGCTGTTCCTTCTGCTTTTCCCCTTACAGCCAAGAACATGTTAATGGGTGAACCAGGGGCTTGCGGACATATACCCCTTGTTCTAACATGTTACAACCCTCGGTTGTTTTCTGCTCCCCTGCTACAAGTTTAACTTTTAGCGGTTGAATGGAAAACTCAGTTGGCAAAAAGTTATCCAAGCAACATGCACCAAAGAACATATACCCCTTGTTATAGCATGTTACAACCTGAGCCCCTGGATCCTGAATCCCCCCGCGTCGCAACCAACTCGAAGCCGCGCGGCATCAAAGGCGCCGCTGCCCAGGCGCTGCTTCGCAGCCTGCAGCAGACCCAAGCCGGTGCCGGACACGCCTGCCGGAATCACCTGGCCGGAAGCTTCACCCGAAAAAGCAACCGTAAGGGTACACTCCCTCCCACGCTGCCATGGCACCTGGAATTGATCTTCCTGGAAATTGATCTTCCTGAGTTGGTGGGAGGCAGGGTATAGTCTATAGAAACATGAATCCGAAAAAGCGGAGATGCACGGAACCGGGGAAGGGTGCACTCCCTCCCACGTTGCCATGGCACCTGACACAAGCTCCTTCAAGAGGAATTAGATCTTCCTGGTACCCTCCCACAAATGCTATGTTGGTGGGAGGAAGGGTATACAAACATGAAAACTGCTCATTTTGGGATATGACATAGGAAGCCTATATTTATGTATAAACACGATTTTACTGACGCATCCTCACTTGGCTTCCTTTGGGAAGCTACGAAATTATAGGCAGCGGCAATTTGGTGCCTAGGTCCATATGTAAGGTTCCCAAAACGGCTCCCTGCTTGGATGAAGTTGTGAGAAACCCTGTTCTAGAAACCAATATTGATGTTACACACACACACACAAACATATTCCAAAAGTAATGGCCCATCCCCAACACAAACACAACACAAACACAATGCTACTTAATTGTACTAGTCTGGGTGTTTCTGGTGGATCCACATGAAGGGGTAAGGATCGGGTGTCTGCCTCTTCTTGGGTCGCACCATCCATCCTAGGTTGCAGCAAAAGATATTGCTTGGCAAGTACATCGTGATACTGTGAACGTGTAGGAGTGAAATCACCCACACTGCTTGCTGGCAAGTGGCAACATGTCTTCCTGATGCTTTCAGGGAAATGTTAATGATAGCTAATTCACAAGGCAAGGTGGTAGCCAATTCAGCGATCTTTTGGGATCCCTCAACAGTTTGAACATGGCCAACGACGTCACCTCGGCCTCGACACATGACTCACTTGAGTCGAACAGAAAACACGAAACACTGCAACAACTGCAAAGTGAATGAATCGGGGGCGGCCCCTTTTGTAGTCGTTGGGTGCCTGGGTCGTTGGGTCCCTGTGGCCTGACTTCCATCCGATTTCCGCGGTCGGAAGGCGCCTCGTAGATGGTATGGTGTTGAACCAGCGAGGCCGCAACCGACGGTGCAGCCTCGCAGGCCGACCTGAGGCTTTCGGAAGACGCCTGGTTTTTGTTTTTGCGTCGGCCGAAGTGGGCGTGGAGCATTTTGCCCACCTCTCTCCACCCTGAAAAAGTGGGGGGGGGGGGGGGTTCGAGTCAGTACGCCCCCATGTTTCAACAGTCGTGGACACTGGTACTGGCAAAGTAAATGAACTGATTCAATCCGGAATGGAAGATCAGCGATAGGGTTTCAACCAAACCAAGTTGAAAGGACACCTTGAAAGGCAGCTCATGCGTGCTCCAGTCCGTCACGGATACCCTATATACCTCGTCGGTTCCCGACCTTCACCTCATGAACCAGAAGCCCAAACGGAGGTCAACAAAATGGTTTACGGGTTGAGCAATGGACAGTGCCCTCCCACCTTTTTCACATGGAACCTGAAGTTCCGAAGGTCCTGGAAAATGGTCTTCCTTTTAAAGGGACCGGGTCTCATGAAAGCAGGTGGGGTACATTGAGCTTAGGCTCAAAGCTTGGACAAAGGAACCAAATGCTGTCGGATGGGAAGTGGAGTGGATCAATTTCTTCAGGAAACCCCGTGTCAGGTGCCATATTGGTGGGAACTAGGGTAATGTTGACCCCAGATTATTAATATGGGGGTGGTCCCCTCCGCAAGTGGTCTAGATCCCCACTAAACCCAGATACACCCCGCTGTTGATACGCGAGGGTTTATATTAATCCGGGGTACACAGCATACCACGACGCAAGGTTTCAGGTCCCGCGAAGACCGATTTGGGAACACGAGCGGCGAGACGTCAGCCATCAGCAAGACGTTGGAAGATCAGGCCATGACCGAGGCGAGGCGCTGCTAAAACGCGCGCCCGGCGTCGGCTTTTTTTGAGCCAAAGGCAGTGACAGCGTAGCCAGGGGCCCCGCAAAGGACATGGGTTAATTCGGGAGTTTGCTGGCTTTTGTGGGAGGTTTAGGAGGAAATGCAAGTAGAGAGTCCAACCTGAGCTTTGCGGGAGACTTGGGGAGCTCCCCAAGTGGACCAGCGATTAATCGGAACCTTTCCTCTGTTAGCATCACCCTAATTTAGGACACACACGTGGACCAACAAAAACCATGCCTTAACATGTTTTAACCGGAAGCGACTTTCTTCTGCACTGATACGCTCAAACAATGAAGCAATAGCCCTAGTCCTAAGTAGGAGGATTCCACTGGTGTCCTCGATTCGAACCAAGCTGAAACCAGTGAAATCCATCCATGGTCCTTTTTTTTCTTCTAGCAAACCAAAGCAGGACACTTTCGGCTATAACTCTGCATTAGCTAAGCCACAAGTCCCAGTTGGTATGCATCCCCCCTGACAAGCATGTGGCTGGGGCACGCAGAAAATGCAATGTTCTGACTAACATACTGTGGATGGACGAAATCCTGCACCACCGCAAAAACAATGGAATGATGCTTCCCCTGCAAACACCAACAAACTGTGGTTTCTCATGGATTCAAACTGGTGCAGGATTCCATCCATCCACAGTATGTTTGGATTGCAGACAGCAAAAAACAAAAAACTGGCCGCTTCGCCTCAGCGCCTCCTGTGCGCGCTGCTCTTCAGCCTCCGGAAGGTGAAGCAGTGATGCGAGTGAGTACAAAAATCAGATGACCCATACATTCCAAAACAAGACAAAAAAAATAACTCCAACACATTTCTAGAGGGAATCTCCTCTTGCGGATCCCTAATGGAACACTTTGGGTTGCATGTTCATTGATAGGGGAGTACATAGTCAGGCTTCCCTTGAGCTTTCCATACACATGCATGGTGCCCGGAATGATCCCACTCAAGCTCCGCTTTACCGAGGGTATAAAGCAAACTATGGCCAGCAACTTGGCAACTGTGCGTTTGTTCGGGAGGCCAGCAGAGTCGACAACTGATCCATCCCCTTGTCAATCAAACAAAGACAGGGTACGTTAGCCAAATGTACAAGCAGTTCACGCTTTTGCTGGCAACATGGGTCCACGCCCAGCGCGTGGGCGAATACTCTGTCTAAGCCCTCCAGCCACGTGCACACGCCTTGCCCCGCAAACTCCTCTTCACTTTCCCTGTTAACCAGCCCGAAGTCGGCATTGCATCAGGAGGCACCTTAAAAGGATGTTTGGGTGCTCTATCTGCTGGAGCGTTGGCAAAAAACCTCCCTGGACCTGCAAGAGCAGTTTTCCGTGTGGGCGTTCCGAAGGGAAGCCGGCCCCGGGGCCTCCACAACCCCTCTCCCCAAACCCCGCGCCTGGAGGCTCTCCAAAAGGTCTGGGTCCTGGCGAAAAGAAGAAAAAACCTGGGTGGCCATGAATTGCCCTGAGGTGTGGTTTCTTTAAACAACAAATAGGCCTAAGAATCCTCCAGGAAATTCTACTGGACATCCTTTTGGGTGTTTGGCCAACTGTAGTTTTGTGTTTTTTTTGATGGTTGGGATGAGCCTTGGGCTAAATGATCCCGAAAGGCTTGCTGCATTCCCCTCTCGCCAAGGGTAAAAACAAAACAAAAAGCGTTGAACAGCGGATATACCGAACGGAAAACCAGACTTTACCAACAAGGGGCATGCAGATCTACTCACAAATGCTGAAAGATCCCACCCTCTGTGGGCAAAGCTGAAGCCATTGGCCATTTAGCACCAGAAAAACAAGGTCGCCCAAAATGCACAATGAATCAGCCAGGTTGATAATTCAGGGGTCGTCACTACAAATTGTCCCCATGATCTCCTGAGTAATAAATAAGGGTTCTGTCGTCCATACCCTCCATAAACTATAGCCATCTTTTGCACCGAGCTCGAAAACTGGCGGTGGGGCTCATAGCTTGAAGGTATGGGGCAAACATTTGGAGGTTTACCATTAAGAAAAAAACACCTTTCTGGACGTACAAGGGAAAATCCTCCACTTCCAGTGGCACTGAGAATATCCTAAGTCACCCTTCAAAAGTCGTTTGGATGCGCGGCAAACTAGCAGCCTTTCGGACAAACACCCCCGCTGGCCATTTTTGGCTAGGTGTTCCCTGTGGCCCAAAAAGGCTGAGGGTTTTCTGGAAGGGATCAGAAGTCCTCCTCAAGCTGCAGGCTGCACAGCTCTGACTCCAACCTCGCTGCGAACCGAGGGGTTTGTCGCTTGGTAATTACCCATTAAGAAAGGTTTTGGGGTCAAAAATGGGTCAAGGTTGCCCTATGTCCTTCGACGTCAACAAAGCGACACACAGTGGCCCATCCATTTAGCGTGCGTATCATGTCACATCCAAAACGTGTCCTCCTTCTAACTCCAAGTCAAGGGTGTGTTGACCATGGAAAAAACAATATGTTTCTTACAAGATTTCTTTCTGACATCGCCTGAAAGCATCAAGGCCCCAACTCCTGCAGCCGCCGTCGAACCTCCAAGGTTCCGTCAGGAACTGCCTGAGAAACGGCACTCACTCTAAGCAAAGGCCGCCGGGACGTTGGCCGAAAACCATTCGAGCAGATAACTCGTACTGTAGTTGCTTGTGGTTGTTTTTATTGGCACAGCTGGTGGAAGTTGCAACGTTGGACTTCTGAATGTCGACCCGCAAAGGGCACTAGGATTTTGCAACTTTCATTGTCGTGCGAAAAGGATGATGTCCTCGATGTTGTGAAGCAGAAGCCTTGCACGATGAGTTACTAAGCAAGATGGCAAAAGGCACTACTAGTCAAATTTGTTCTTCCGACCTGTTCAAGCCACGTTAGACCTTCAACTTTGACTTGGGCTGCAACAGGCCGCTCATGGCACCTTTGGCTGGAGCCAGTTTCTATTCAATGAGATACGCAGCAAGATCAATGATCACGGGGAGCGAAAATTCCCGGTGAAATCAAAAAAGCAGGAACCATCCTGTCATTCCCAGCCTTCTGAGATTCTCAAGCTTGGGCTAGCCTAAACTCAGGCCGTCTTTGTGGCGAAAACCACAGCAAGCCAGAGTTTCCTACAGTCAGATACAGTCCAA